GACGCCCGACACCTCCCCAAAACTCTGCACCTTCTCTTCCCCTCACTCAACACCTTCCTCCTTTCGCACCCCATCTAGTATGCCTGCTGACTCCAAGAGCATGAGGGCTCTGTCAGCGTCACTAACACAAATGTCCCCAGTGCCTGGAACAGCCCCCGGCACACAGTAGGTGCTCACTAAAGCACTGAATCTGTGCCTGAAAGTAACGCGATGTGAACAGGGCACGAGCCGTTCGCGCCTGTGTCCCCCTCCCATCGGAGTGAGGGGACTCCACCCGTGTCACCAGCTTCTCCCTTCGCCCATGGGGGTGAAACCACCTACGTGAGCGGCAGGTGAGGCCCCGCCAGCTCTCACAGGTGCTTTTCCACGGGCACCATCCGGGGGTGGGCGGGTGGAGCAGAGTTTTGGGGAGGTGTCGGGTGTCGGGGGGGTTGTCGGGCGTCGGGGAGGTGTCGGGAGCTGGTCACCTTAACTCGTCCTGGAGCTGCGGCCTGGCCCGGGGAGGCCGGCATACCCCACCCCCCGGGGAAAGCACCCGTGCGGGGAGGGGCCTGGACGCAGGAGGGAGGCAGCACAGGACGACCCGGGGTGCTGGGAACACAGGGGACACTCTAGCCACGGCAGTGTCCTGAGACTAGGATGTAAGGTCCCCAGGCTCTGGTGTGTGGTGTCTAGGGCCCTGGCCCTCACTGTCCCCAAATCCTGTGTCTACACACCGAAGTCCGGTCTTTACGCCACCCCCCCACCCCGGGGCTGTACGGCCCCCCAGTCTGAAGATGGGCTCCTAAGAGCTCGGAGCTGCAGCCACTGCAGCTGGAAGACTCTGTGCCACCCACGGCTCGGGGCGGCAGGAGCCAGGAACTCGGGTCTGCCTTTCCCAGCCGCCAGCTCTCAGGCCTGTGTGACCGGAGCTGAGCCCCACGCCTGTGAGGCTCGACATGTACTAAGAAGAGCTTCGCAAACAGCAGCCAGTGGCTGGCACATCACAAGTGCTCCACCAACACCCAGGGGCCTCGCCTGAGCCCCAGATGCTGTCCACACAAGGGGCTTCTCTGCCTCCAGTCTGTCCAGGGCCAAGGCTGGATGCAAACCACAGCCAGAGTTCAAGGTCAAGGTCAGCGGTGCCCAGACTCCTTATGCTGTGGATAGAATCGTGTCCCCTAAAACCTTGGTTGACGTCCTAACCCCCAGTACCTATGAATGTGACCTAATCTGTGGACGTGGCTGCTTGAGACGGGGTCGCACTGGAGCAAGGTGGGCCCTAACCCAATGACCAGTGTCCTAAGAGGAGGGGAATCTGGACACAGACACAGGGAGGAGGCCACGTGACGGCAGAGGCGGGGGCTGGTGTGATGCCGCCACGAGTCCAGGGACCCCCACGGCGTGCCAGTCACAATCCGACCTGGGAGGAGAGGGGGGCCCGCCCCCGGAGCCCGGCCTCCCGACACCTGGATCCCAGACCCTGGCCTCGGCGCGGGCACTGGCTGCGGCGTGGTCTCTCTGCTCTGTTGTTCCAGTCAAACCAAGTCCTCCGCCAGTCCCAGGGGGCCCCCAGGGGGTGACGAGGACCGCACCTGCATCACGCGGAGTGCTGTCTCTGGAATGACAATGCCCTGTGGCCCCTGACCCCCTGCAGGCGCCACCCCTCACCCCTGCGGAGCACGTGTCTCAGCGTGCGGGGAGGGCGGTGACTGACCCGTCCGCGGAGGAGGGCGGACGCGCAGACCACGGCTCGGCTCGGCAGGCTTTGCCGACCCAGTTCTCACCTGGGGCTTGGTGGTGAGGTCCGGCCCCACCAACCTCGGGCTCGGAAGATGCTGTCAGGCCGGCATTCCCCTCCAGCTCTTCTCAGGA